CAGATATTCCTAGTTGCGTGTTGATTCTTCATCAATCCATTTTATTCTCACAAAGTCTTAACCACAAGCCGTTTTCTATGTTACATCTCTCCTAATGGTGTGTTGGTTGTTCAACAAACTGTTTTATCTTCTCGTATAGTATTCATGGTTGTTCATCTATTTTCTGTAAACACATAGGTCCGTCAAAGTTATTTCTATCAGACTTTTTTCCACCTTAGTCTGTTCTATTGGTGTGATGGCTGCCCTACAACCTGTTTTCTTAGGTCACAAACTAATTCCGGTGCATGGTGGTTAATCAACCAATGATTTTGCTAGGTACACTGAACGGTGTTCCCTCTCTACCCATAATTGTGTCTGTGAAATATCTTTTCAGCTAGCTGTCTATTGTGATGAACTACATATATAGTTGTCTCATTGGTTTGATTTTTGTTTAAAATATGGTCTATAATGGCCACATTTTCTTATTACTGTTATAGTTGATTAATATGCTAGTCTCTAATATTATATAAGCCGGTATGATACTTTGCCATACTGCTGTTTTTGTCATCACGTGATGCTATGGGACTGATGGTTTATCATCTACTTATTTTTCGTTGTCACGTAGTTCTATCGTTAAAATGACATTGGTATACTGTTTTCCTTTGTCACATAGCTCTATTAGTTAGATGGTTATGGCATAAACTATTTTCGATAACGTCGATAGGTTAACTACTCTCTGATACGGAATGGATATTTGTTGTTCAATTTGTAAGACGTAAACCATAATATTTTGCATCTTTTATTCTTCATGTACTTCGATTTGCTAAGCCTACTCGTTGTTATTGAAATGAAAGGTCGTATCTACATTTCCATGGTTTGTTTTGTTGAAAGGTACATACAGAGCATTTTTCGAATAAATAGATATTTTAACTACGTACAAACTATTTACAAACAAATATGAAGTGAAAATGTCGTATAAAATTCGTACAAAATGGGTCGGTTTATTCTATCGTTGAAAGTGGGTCGTATATAACATTATTGACATTTTAATGCTTAAAAAAATAGGCTCCAAAATGTAATGAAATTGTGTCAGTAGAAGGAGAATGATATTCTTTTTCAGAACATGAAATCAAAGGATTTAAGTCATACTTATGATCTTTTAAAATGATGACGTCGATACGTCGATTATGATGTGCATATGTATTCCGTGTACAAACCTTACATAAATGTATTATTTTCCAATATTGATATTTTACTGGCGAACGTCGGTTCGTTTTCGTTTTTTATCGACAGTAACATGGCAACCATTTTATTTGATCTTTCTGTTGTTTTGCAGTACTTATTGCTGTCCATGGTAAGTTTGACTTTATTCACCTAACGGTACATTGGGAGACGGGAAAACATCGCTTTAAGCTTATAATCCGTTGCACATTTCAAACAATAAGGGCATTAAGGTTGAAACAGAGATACAACTTGGTTAGTGCTGGCGACTCCTGTACACGGAAGCAATATACCAACATTTCAAGAAGAATAAAAACAATAAAATAGGCATGAAACAGTACACATTAGTACTGTTATATTTTACACACCAAATGCTCCATAAAAATGAAATAGCTGTAGCACCGGATAACACATGAACAATGGTATAAATACTCTTTGTAACCAAATGTAACTAATGTATGTTAAATATCCCCAAATCTAGGAGGCAGCATTGTATAAAGAATGTTTACTAACACCCCGAAATCTAGGAGAGTAAGCATACACTATCAATACATGTTATCTCCAAACCCAGTGGATAATCTGAGTGATGCCATTGTATTAATACAAACCCCAAGCCTAGAAATGATTATCTGTAACTCCACGCAACTAGTGCATGTTAAGTATCCGAAAGGTAGTAGATCAATCTGTAATCCACCAATGTATACATATTGGATTATTTCCCCTGAACCTAGGGATTGAGACCTATAGCATCACTCAAACAAATGAATGCTTTGAATAATCGCGATTTTCTTCAAGGTCAGAGGAACGATCCGCCGACGACAACAAGTAGGAAAACCGATATCAACCTAACAGGAGATGGTAATATAAGTTTATAAAAGCACCAAACGAATAGTTACGGGGTAACTGCATCTCACCATTACCAATACCCATAAGGCATCCCAAACCAACGGGATAATCTCTCACCAAACAACCAATGCATTCGAAGTTTTCCGAAGATTAAACCTGTGTAGCCCGTAACTAAATGTAATATATATATAGTCTGATTTTGCATGGAGTACATATATTGGGATCATTTTATTACATAACTTCAATTGTTTTTAATGTGCGAATTGTACATTTATTTCACACCTATTTCACACCTGTAAGTATCCCCAAACCAAGGGGAAATCTCTTCAGCACAACACAGCTTATACATATTATATAAATATTACATTCATTAGCAGGTGACAGAGAATATTGTCAACCCGAGAAAACCATTGTCACCCGATAATATTGCTATCACAAAACTTTTATCTTTATAGCACCAAGCACCTTGTTCTTATTCAGTATCCTCAAACCTATTTTATAGCACCACATCGCTAATATAATTTTATGCCTTCAAGATACTCGGGGAAATCTTTGTTGCACATAATTATTTGCTGTTAATAAAGTTGCATGGGATTACAGTATAAGTGATCAGAATGAAAACTTTGCAGAGCATATAATTCTTAGGTACAAGATGTGACCAAGTCTGTATGCATTAGATGTTTTGACGGGTTTTGATTTATCGTGATTTTTAACTGATGATTATTTCAAGGCTTTCAAGATCAGAAAAATGAGCAAAAGGCCGCATTAGCGACACGTACTGTGGCTGACACGACAGCGGGAGTAGATGAAAGTCGCAAGTCTGTTACCCAAAGTAAGTACCATATAACACATCACAACAAATGAATGCATACTATCAACGAGCCTAGATGACTATCTTCAAATCTCGACACAGATGAAACATAACAATAAATCTGAAACTTTTTCAACTTGCAACTAATTCTTCTAAATATACCAAAACTTAGAGAAAAATTACTCAAATTACGTTGCTAAATATACTAAAATAAATAATTCTGTAGCCTTGTACAGGTTTTACAAACTCTGTGTAGTTCCAAACTTCTGCTACAACTCACCATCCACAAATATAAGGGATACTCTCTGTAGCACGACCAAGCTGCTACTTACTCAAAGAGTGTCCTATGACCTTTCTGATACTTCATGTAGCTCCATGCAGCTATTGCACACTTAGTTTCCCTATACCCAGGGGAGACAATCTCGATTGTATTACATACCAAAACATAAGGAATACTCTCTGCAGACAACTCAGATATAACATACGAACTATCCCCAATCCTGGAACATAGTCTTTGTAGATGACACAGCTGTGACATACAAAGTATCTCCAAGCTTAATTGATACTCTTTGTGGTACCGGACAGCTAACTGATAGTCTGTGTCTCGAAACTGAGGAGATATTCTCTGTGATAACACACAACTATTGTACAATTAAGTATCACCACACCTAGATCCTTCTATACCCAGTATTCCTATAGAATCGCACAGTTGTATCACACTCAGTATCCCCGTACTTTGGCGATACTCTTTGCTGTGACATAGTTTAGGTAGCAGAGTACAGTAGCGTACGGTGGCCATGGGTGATATTTTTATACAATGAATAACCCNACATACCCATGATCCGCAAACATAGGGAATTTTCTCTGTGGTTCCACACAGCTATTATATAGCGAGTATCCCCGAACTTAGGGATTACTCCCCATCCTTCTACACAGCTATTACATAAAATGTGTCCCCAAACATTGGGGATAGGGATGGGGGAGGTCAATTTTGTAGTACCACACTGAGAAGTACACACTGCATGACATATTCAATATCCTGAAATCAAGGGGATACCCGCTGTAGTACTGTATACTTATTTACAGTGTAGTATCACCAAAAATATATATAAAAGCAAAAGCCGTGATTAAATATGTTTGAATTCCGGTTCGACAATAACAGCATAATTACTTCATGATAAACGTGACGATTTGATCTTCCTGTTGTGACCTTTTCAGTTTATGACGGTAACCTCCCTGTTCTCCGCATTGACGGTGTTCAAATGTCGCAGTTGTTTCGACATCCACGGGCAAACTCCGAATATTATGATTTCCGTTAAAGATGTCGACTACTGACACACGAGCTTACAACACATAGTTCTATGCTGGATGATGAAGGCTATGGACAAAGAATGGTCGTCATCATGATCTCATAGGGAACTATCTAATTCCTCGAACGACATAAATTACGACACTTACTTTTTCGGACGCTTGGATCAATAAAATATTTCGTTAAATAAACCCAGTATGTTTAATATTACACCTTGAATAGTTTGTTGATATATTGTTTTCGACAATCGTGATTTTTAATTGATGATTATTTCCAGGTCTTCATGATCAGAAGAATAAACTAAAGACCACAACGACAAGTACTGTAGCCACCACCACCACACTAGGAGGAGATGGTGGTCTCAGATCAGTAACCCCACGTACGTGATATATATTCACTATCCACAAAGCTAATAGATGCAAATAATCCAAGAATCTAGGGGACAATCTTATCAGCAGCACACAACTAATACCCATATGATTTCCATAAATATTCTTGGTATAATCTCTTAAGCACTGTTCAGCTGATTCATTTTAGTATTCATAAACCTGCATGGAACTGTTGTAATGTTAGGATTTTCTAAAGATATGGTTTGATACGCCCAGGCTGTTTGCTTGTAGACATTTATGAGTTTATATATATGCATTAAATGTCTGCGATAATTACAATCTTTCAATGTTGATTATTTCAAGATCGTCAAAGTCAGAAGGATGAGTCCACAATCACATCAAGTACAACAGGGAGAGATGGTAGAGGGGGCATAAACACAAATCAAGCTTTGGCGTTCTTTTGTCCACATGAATGTACATACTGTCCGACGTTCGAAAGAAAAAAGAACACAATGTGCAGGGCGTTCGATAAATACGGATCCATAAATCAGACATTTGTCAATGCTCTATCGCAGGTTCTACGACAGGCTAATGACGAGATAGTAGCTTTACCACGTACGTACATATTTATAAATGCGAATTTATTTTTAAAACTGAAGCTCAAGCCAATTATACCTGAAAAATTGCATTTAAGTTTTTTCTTTAGGTAAGAATGGTACTAAGTATTGTACGATGATTCCATTTAAGCAATCAAAACTTGATATATGACATCTTGTTGAAAATATCAGACGATGTCAATCAATGTCTGATATTATATAATCAATTATAATGGTCATTAGACGCCTTAGTAAGCTCCTAGAACGCTAACGAAGTTTCTGTTGACAGACTTTCAGGCGAATGCCATGTTGGCTACGTGTGCAGGCTTTATGTCCTACATAAAGAGATGGACCCGACTTGAAGCCAACGTAAAGGCGATGATCACCTCATTTCTTAATCAACCCGGTAATATGGACGCTGCTAGGATGGGACTAATCCCAAAGAGCATTTTCACTATGTTAGACGTACGTAATAAAACACACACTTACATAAAATCGAATTCTGCGCTTTGTCAAACCAGTTTAAAAATATGCACTCAGCCTGCATTTTATGAGTCAAATGACACGAAGAAATTCAGACCACGTCAAAAAGTATCCCAAAATATTTATAAAAAGGTTCTTTTGAAATAGTAAATATATTGAACGAAGGACACATGTTCACTGACATACCGGCATGAGGTTAAATGTCTTGAGTACATAATAGTTTAAAACACTTGCACGCTTTATGTAATACATGTAATACACACATGTAGCTATTTGAAACTGCATCGGAATAACAATGGAAATTAGAAACCATCGATCGTTATGTGCCTAACACACTCAGATATCTCAATGTCAATCGAAATAAAATAAGAACAAGAAGGCGAATATGTCACTTTTAATACTTTATAGTCAATGTTGAGAATAATCTGCTTCTTGATTGATAGAAATGTGCATTATACAATCGGTACATCCCATTAACTGATATATGTAGATATCATACTTATATTTTTACAGTCGAATTTTGCTATAGAGATATATCCAGCGTTGCCAGTCGACGTGAAACAAGTTATTTGTAGAAACCTGGGTAAAGAAGACTGCATCATACGGAGTTCTATTCTTGATAACCTGCAATGCCAGTCAATTCTATTGGTACGTAATAATACTAATAAAGCAGTCAATTTTAGCGCAATGCATGACTTTATGACGTATATAACATAAAATGCTAATTCAAGATCATGATTTGAAACCAAAATAATGACTGATTTTTTTTTTTAGTTTAAAAACATTAAAATGGTTAAACTACTTTTTATCAAACAGTCTAACGGGGGAACTCCTACTGAGGATGACATGGATTCAATACTAAACTTAAAGGACTTCGCTAACTGGAGCAAAGACACGTGGGTCATAGCGTTCAACTACACCGTCAGGAAGTTGTCAATGAGACATTTTGAGGTAGCTCCCATCGATGTTGTTCTTGACAGGTAAGTAAGGTTTCGAAATGCACTACACGATGTTTAATATTATTTCATAAGTTGCCCTTAAGTGTGATTTGTGTAGAAATAATGGCATGGACAAGAATGTGTTTTGTGTACTGGTAACAATATTGTTTTATTATGGATTTTCAGCTTAATGTTATTATAGAAATGTATCCAAATACCAAGACACCAAGACAGAATCGGAAATGAGTGACATATCCTTATCTAGATAATCGTGATGTTTTTATTTAGTAGTATCAGTTTGTAATCATTGGTAACAGCAAGCAGATTACTGTTTTCTTTCGTTATGTTATATTTCAGCATGAAGACATTGAGCAAATCCTGCGGAAATTTTTCATCAGAAAGTATTGGTATCATAACAAAACGGATCATAGCTAACGTTAGAAGCCTGTCGAGTATCCCAGCTGACATGGATAGTACGTTGATGGATCTCCTACAACAATGTGGAGCAGACCCAAGCAGTTTTAGGACACTTTACGACGATTCCATGGTATGCTATATAGCGAATAAATAAGCACTGAATACGCATTATGGGTAACAATTCCTACAATTCACATAACATTTTCAATTTAAGGCTACAAGGTATGAATAAATTGTAAGAGTATAAAAATGTGATTTCGAACAAATGCACTAAAAAGAGGGTAAAAGTACCTTCGATAACATGTGCCTGCAGCTCCAATTTCATTTGAATGACAGTTTTAATGATAACAACAATAGAGTTCCGCCAGATGGAAGCATAATGTTTCATGCGTGAGAACGAGAGATTTATTGTGATAAGACCAATTTCTTATCATGAAATGCAGTCAACAAATACACATACACGATAGATAAGTCGCTCTCCTGCACACAAATATTAACAACCAAATATCTTCATATTACCAATGGCAATGCAGCCAGGGGAGAACTACTTACAAGAAAGCCAACAAATTGTATTGCAAGGCAAAAAATGACGAGATTGTACGTTTGTGATTTACATATCATTTTTGAAAACTGCATGTGCCACTTCTCAATGTCTATATCAATTTACAGCGTTTCATATTTTTTAAATAACCTCAACATGAATTCACCTACCAAGACGAAATATTTGACTCGCGACTGTGTCTTTTTGCTAAGACCGAAACTAATATATGATTTTTTAAACATGTTAAGGTTTTTGACTTTACCGACAATAAATTAATAAAATTAAATAAGTTCATGGTTAATTTGTGGTATAATTACATCTATATTTCCTGAGATCTAAACAAAAGGCAGAAAAATACGAATCTATGCAACGTTAAGTACATGTATATAGTGAAAGGTACATGTAATAAAGATTAGATAAAATATAGGATATATTTGCAAGATTCATCGAGTCACTGCTATGCAAAAACGATGTTTTCTGCCAGCCTGGTCGCTGGTAACGTTAGTGATGTGGTAGTTACTTCCCATTGTTCACCCGTGTGTGTCAGCGACACTGGCTGGAAAAGAACATCGTTCTTGCAAATATGCCTTACATTCCTGCTAAATGAACCTTTTCATGATGTTTAATATACTATAGGTTATCACTGACAAAGTCATTTATCAAATAAAAACATTGTTCAGTAACTTTGTATCTACACACTATCTGTTATACATTTCATCGTTTTGGAAATGTTCGTAATTAATGTTTTGCTTATTACTTAATCATGCTTTAAACTAAAACATCAAGGTAGAACGATATCTCTTATAGGCATTGCTCCCAGTGAATAACAACGGGTAATGTTTAACCAGTTGTCCTTCTTGGTATGAGTATGATACTCGTAAATTTTCTCCATTCAATGTCTAAGTGGGTGTTACAATACGTTTGATATATAAGCACAATATTAGTAAATACTCTTTTATTTTTACCAGATCCTGTCTACGATGGATGTTAGCAAAACATCTCCCGGTAACGCTATGAAATTTATTGAACACATTCCTTCGTTTGATCCATCAACACTTAGCCGCGAGCAGATACCCAGGTACTAAGTCGTCCATTTTCGAAAAATACTCGTTTTATTTGAATAATAATAAACATTTATACGATGTCCTTTGTACATTTGTACGTTAAAAAATGCTTTAAAAAAATAAAATACATAAATCTAAACTGTAGACATGTAACATATTAAAATACTCAATAACAAATAATTACTTATATGACAGGATATTCAATTATTAAATCTCACATGTGTAGCCGAGTACTCAACTTATAACGCTTCCTCAACAATCCGTGTATGTTTGAACAGGTTCCCTAACAAGCTTTCTATACCTGACAACATCACGTTACAAACAGAATATGTAAAATACCATAATAGTCACAATTCTTTACTTAATGAAGTCTATTTACATTGATTGTTTAGACTTGTGAATGCAATGAGCAGAAAACAACTAAAACAACTCAATGCAACTGAGATGGAGCATGCACTCTGTATTTTGTGTCAGACGACGTTTGACAGACTTGAAAAGGGAAAGGTAAAAACTATTCATATCGATGTGGCTGAACAACACGAATCATTTATCATATTTATGTAATAAAAGTGCTTAACGATTGGTATATTAGGTTTTTTTACATTCGGACATTGTGTTAAATGCACGTAATGTAATACAGAATTCCGACATTCATTTGGATTTTTTTTTGTTTTTTCATTTATTTCATTCATTTAAAATGATACGTTTTAAGGTCAAGGAAAGTGTTATAATTATGTTTATTTAATAATTATGTCCAAATGAACTCCTTTATTTAGTAACTTTTGTATAATAAAAGGAATTCAATTTTTTCTTTGTGAACTACATTGTAGAAAAGAACGGTGACAGACGTATTCCGCAGGAAACTGCCTACATATACGGATCCAGTGACTTTGGATGATACAAAGGCTGCATGTATGGAATGCATGATACCGTATTTTCCCGCATCTGACTTTAGACATATTCCGACTGCTGTTATAGAAGGAATGGTGTCTGGTAACGTCCTACAGCAAATGGACATAACCAGCAGAGTACAGGTAAAGCAGTAATTGTATAATTTGTGTTAACAAATATAGGATATGCTGTGGTAACGATATGAAACTTAGTTATTTGTATTGATAAAATGTTTGCTATAAATACAATGTTATGCATGTAACATATTTTGCCTAAAACCTCATGAAATAACACCAATTGTTACGTCAAACTTAATCAAGTCGCATTGAAAAATAATAGGCATAAAATTAAAATGGTTCAGCACTTGACAACGGTAATAAGATAATGATTTTGAACATTCGTGTGCATTCTTGGTAATGTAATAAAAAGATAATGTTGAATTGGTTTCTATTTCTTATGGGATTCATGAAACAACTTGTGCCGATTTTGTTTTATTTAGCTCAGCAAAGTCTCATCTAAAGGAAAACATTAGATTCATTTAACAGATATCCTTTGGAATGAAAATTCAATCAAGTTCTATACTTACTTTAAAACTGCTATGAATATTTGCGTGCTATGAATATTTGCGTATTTAAATAGAAGAATTATATCTTTTTCTCAAATAAAAAAAATAAATCTTTAATGATAGAAGTCATTACTTTGAAAATAAAACTAATATGTTAAACAAAGGGAGTCATTATTGTTTATGTTAAATTGATATCTATATATATATATAATGACATAATCATTATTATGTTATATAGAACTATGATGGTAATTGTGACTCGGCATTCGGATGTTATCACATTGTCTCTATCTGTCTGTCTGTCTGTATGTATGTCCTTCTGGTTTCTGTTTCTACACGAAAACTTACTTATAAGGTATGCACATTCAATGTACAAAGGCATAGGCTAAGTTATCCATTATTTTGATATGTATTCTGCACTTTGATTTTTAAAGTGTCCACTGGATAATGCAATTGAATATGTCTGGCCACTGATGAAACTTACAATATTTGTTCTATACAGTTACGAAGACTAAGATAGAATCTGAGTAGCATATATATATGTATTTAATAGCTACTTAGATGACACTAGGGTCAATATTCCATTAAAAGGGTAGTAAATAGTATAATTGCAACATCAGATCCATTTATATAATATTTAAAGAAGGTTGTTAAATATTTAAACTTGAAAAAAAAGATCTTTAATAAATCCAGTTATGTCTTATATATAGTATGCATCTTATTACATTATTAATTGGAGAAAATAAAAAAATAAACACTTTTTGGCTTAAGTTTATAAGCCATTATAGTATTTCCTAGCTTTAAAAAGGGTGGTAAATCTTTAATCAAATCTTACCCGTGCGTCTAATATAACCTTTCTATTGCTTAACTTCCAAAATCTCAAATATTCATTTTGTTTTGAATCAGTTCTATGGACATTTGGTTAAGAGTATTAAGTACTTAACGTAAAAATATCAATCAATTCATTGTTTCCACAATAGGAATGCCTCCGAAAATTCACAGTTATCATATCATCTTACCTAATTTTGATGCTGTGCGCACACGCAAGCCATCTAATGGTTGTATTATGTGGGACTATTTCTAAAGGGTCGTTGTTGGTGTAATATTGTTAAAACTTAAATGGCAATAGAGAGAACTAATTATTATAATCTTATTTACTTTCATCCATTTCAAGGCTCGGACATTTATGTCTTTAACAAGAACATTGTACAACAGAGCAGACGTAAGTTGTTTCTTTTTTTTTAATATGTATATCAATTATGATTTACTGAATTTAATTGCAAGTTATGAAGGTCGATCATGCTCATTAGAGTGCCTTGTTATTTTGTTGTCGCTACATTAATTCTCATTTTGAGGACGTGAAATTACTTGGATTAGACCTCGATTGGCTTTGCAGGTTTTCTTGATGAAGCAATTTACCTTACACATCCAAAGCAAGAAGTCTTATACAGTTTTTCACGGGTCTCTATGTAATTATATTTTCAATATTTTGCCGCAGTAGTTTAATCAATTTAGAATTATATTAACTGTTTTGCTGACTTTTCACTATTCTGTATTTTGAAATAATAAGAATGGTTTTTGCATCCATTTCGGACCAAATTAATCACGTGGAAAGTCTGTCTGTCTATCCGTTTACAATTCTAGTCTAGATGCTAACTTCAGAATGCATGATCGTATACAGCTAAACAAAATCAGGGTCGCTGTTACTAAAGCTGATTGGGGATGTACTGCCCCTGGCGACTCCCATGTTATATAAAGCTATTTATTACTAAGTCGTGAAACATTATTAACTGTTATACGCAATTTGGAACACCTTGGCTTGGAACATTATCACTTCGAGTAAAAGTTACATGTGTTCGACACAACCAATGTATTGCAGACACCACTGTGCAATACATATGTTATAACGATCTACAGGAATTCGGAGGTACACACAGAGAGGCTTTTTCTGCGTAATTTTTCTTTTATATTCGTACTTTATAATGTAATGTCTCACATGCTGATATTATGATAATATGTTTATAATATCAAGATGTGTAGATACCTATTTATCTTGCATGAACAGGGAAAATTCACTAGTGAAAACCTTTGGCAGATGGGGCCACGTGTGTGTTTAAAGGCCTTGAACGCCACTGATTATGAGGCCATCCCCGACAGTTCATTTGACGAGTACTTTTTAGACTCATTGGACGAGAGTCTGCGGGAAGAGGACAGTTTAGAAACCAAGGCTGTCATGAATAAACTTAAAAGCAAGGTATCTAAATCATTAATACCTTAACGGGACAAAAATCACGACTTACTATTATCTTTCCTTATACATCACATCTATGAGCAATATTTATTTCATTCAATCATTTGATGTTTGATTTAAGGAGATTTTCTTTTGTAAATGTTTTTTATGAAGTATTTCGTTTTATACAACTTTGCGCGGTTGGTTGTAAGTTTTGAATTTGCATGCATTTAATTGTAAACTATTTTGATGAACGTATTATTCCCGATTCGACTGTAACAACGAATACACCAATAAGGAAAAAATCATATTATACAATAATTACGTTGTAAAAGGAATCCACTTACACGTAATCACGCTTTAAACTGCTTTCGGGTGCGGTCTGTAAACCACACCTTAACGTAGTTTTATGCTTATATTCACATTTTCACTGCTTTCGTTTTCTAAGAAAAACAAAATAAAGACATTAAAATATCAAACACGCTATCAACAATCGCTGGAATGTTCGATTGAAACAACCCATAGCACGTGCCTTTTCCTGTGAAACTAGTTAACTTGTACGTTAATCTGAAAATCTGGATACCACATGTGCTGCACAAAGCGCCAAATTCTTCCGGTATTTTCCTTTTGGTTTGTGTGCCTTTTCAATTCTTTTCGTCTCAAGTTTGGCTTATGGTTCTGTCTATGTGCCCTCAAGCTTGTGCCTCCATCCTTTTCTACTTTACGACATTAATCTCCACTTTCTCAACTTGTTTATCTCTATTTCGTCAATCCTCACTCCTCCTATCATGACTTCATTTCCTATTCGGGTTCTTTAATCCTCATCTGTCATATTCCGATTTCTTCGGTGCTAATTTCTCTTATCCTGACTTCTTCATTCCTCACTTTTCCTTTCATGACTCTGTCAGTCTTTACTCGACCTTATGATCACCAATCCTCACCTCCCCAATCTCTCAATTTAAGATTAAAAGTTCACACTTCTATATACCAGGTTCCCCATTTCTGTATGTATATCATGTACATGTGTCCGCATATTTCTATCATTTTGTATAACTTTCCAACAAGTATTCCTTCTGATAAATAATGCTTACTTTTATTCATAGTTCCAGAAGCAACTTGGAACGAAGAAATTGTTGCAATCGAAATTTGCGTCTTTGATATCACCAGCCGATATTGAGAACATGACTTCCTCTGACATTTTTGATATCGAGAATGGTGAATATACTCTAGAGGTTTCTCCTAAACAGGTATGGAAAATTGCTTGCATAAGTCTTCATTGTCCAAAACTATATGAAATATGCATATTCTATATATGCCCTAGTAAAATTCTTTTTAAAAGTTTAGTAAGCCGATGCAAAAAATCAAACTTAGTAAGCATTTAACTGCACCACATGGCATGTTCGTCTATTTTGGACTTTTCAGTGGTACTAAAGACCTGAAGAGATCTAACAATTCAGCAAAAGGAAACGATACCAACTTTACTAACCTTTTCTAAAGTTACAAATTTACAACGTTTAGTTATACACTGTAACGTAATTTGTTTTCAAACAACAGTTCATGTTATTCGTGCCAGAATAAATCCAAGCTCTAATTAATATCGAGGCCTGATGATCCGTCAGCGTGGTCAATCACTTAATGGCGTTAAATACACATTTAAAAGATCAGACAATGTCAAAAGCCTGATAACAATAACATTTTACAACACCACATGACCATTTCGTCTATTTAGGAATATGTCTGTTGTATCTGCAGATACTTTTGTTTTTGAAATACTTTTGAAATATAAAAATTCTCATACAGATAGTATGAGTGTAATTATTACCAACAGTTAGAGAAAGTTGTCTCAAATGAAGTATATTGTGTCGTAAATGAAGTATAAATGTGTCGTAAAATGAAGTATAAATGTGTCGGAAATGAAGTATAAATGTGTCGGAAATGAAGTATAAATGTGTCTGAAATGAAGTATAAATGAGTCGGAAATGAAGTATAAATGTGTCTGAAATTAAGCATAAATGATTTTTCATTATCATTACAGTCTAGAAATCTGATGAAAAGGATCAAACAGGAACGCGAATCCAATGACTTTGATCTACAGAGCGTACAGAATCTGGGACCGTTGAACTGCGGGTTCACAATTTCTGATATCGAACACTTTCCAAAGGACAGCTCCTTCGTTGAGATACTCAATGCCATTGGCAACAACGAGTGTTCCGGACAGGTAACACCGCATCGGACGTCATTCTAAGCAGTTATATTGTGAAGTGTGTATTACTAAATCCGGGTGTATATTCTGTATAATGCTAAAATCTTACAATTATTTCATATTTTCTTCAGCTTTGATATTGGCTTTTATTTTTGCGTAAAATACGAATTCGTGCAGTGCTGAATACAGAGTTTTGAAGAACTATTTGGTGTAGAGTTTCATTGTAGTTTTTAGGTAACAAATCGTGTAGCGTTGAATTGGCAGTGTATACATGGCGGTTTAGAGGTACAGTTTGGTGGATTGTTGAATTCGTGATTTGAGGTACAAATTCGTGTGGTGATGACTAGGAAGTTGTAAGGTTAAAAAATAGTCCAGTGCAGAATTGTTAGTTTTAAGGTGCAAATTAGTGGAGTGTTGAATCTGCAGTTTTCGGGTTGTTAAGCCTGGAAGTTCACCTGGATAGAAAGAGTCACTATTGTGCTAACCTCGCATGATCATGTTACCCCTGAGGACATCATTTTGATAAGAGCCTTACATTTCTATCATTTTGTCTTTCTTTATTTAACAGATTACTGTTTAAATCGAAATGTTAGCTCCTTCAAAAGCAACTGCTAAAACGTACACATTGAGGTTCATCAGTCATTATTCCTCAATTGAGTTCTTTTTTCCTCAGATAAGAGAGTTATACAGACTGAGAAAAGACTACATGGGGTTTGATAGCATTTCAGCGGAAACCTTGACAGCGGACACAACCCCCGCCACAATAAGTGATATATCGCCACCAATCCTCCTCATGCACAGGTAGTGTTATCAAACTTATTATGCAGTGATCGATTTTTACAGTCAATGTCAGACAAACATCCAGTGTATCTGTTCTCCATATATTCAAATTCGAAACACTGACTATGCATAAAATTCAGTCAATGTGTCAAAAAATAAACAAATAATATCGAAACAATGACAAAGTTAATGGGCATAAAATCACACATTTACCTTTTGATCTTTGACTTCTTATTTGACCAAACATATTGTTTTCAATTGTACCAACTGCAAGTTTCAGGTAGAAATTAATTATCGGAAGGAAGTGTTTTCGAAGTGTACTTGAACGGATTGTTGAACAGGTATATTACAACGTGACGTTTCAAATGTTGCCTGCAATCTTAACAATTTTAGTGAACTTGATCAAAAAAACATTCCGTAAGAAAACAAATTTTATGCAGATCAGTGCTTCATGTGTGTATCAACATCACAATTGTATTCAAGGTATTCAAAAGACTTAGAGGTACATGTACTACATTGGCTCCAGAACAATCGTAGAGGTACATGTACTACATTGGCCACAGAACAATGGTAGAGGTACATATACTACATTGGCTACAGAACAACGGTAGAGGTACTTGTACTACATTGGCTACAGAACAACGGTAGAGGTACTTGTACTACATTGGCTACAGAACAATGTTAGAGGTACATGTACTACATTTGCTACAGAACAATGGTAGAGGCACATGTACTACATTGGCTACAGAACGATGGTAGAGGTACATGTACTACATTTGCTACAGAACAATGGTAGAGGGACATGTACTACATTGGCTCCAGAACAATCGTAGAGGTACATGTACTACATTGGCCACAGAACAATGGTAGAGGTACATGTAATACATTGGCTACAGAACAATGTTAGAGGTACATGTACTACATTGGCTACAGAACAATGGTAGAGGTACATGTACTACATTGGCCACAGAACGATGGTAGAGGAGAGAGGGGCAATTGCGTATTTTCGAAATGTTTCAATTTATTTATTTTTTTGGTACTCTTTTTTAACATGAAGAATTATATTTTATCCATAAATATTCTAACGCATGCATGTTGTTGTCATTATTCGTCTCATGTGTTCATACCACGTTTTATCATAGTGTCACTGCAAATGATTGCTGTATTGTTTGTACTTCAGTCAGGACGAACTGAATAAGTACGGTACTCATGTGTGTACAGATATCGTAGGGACACTGCAGACTGTTGATACTAAGAAACTACTAACAAAAAAAGAGCTTCAAGATAAATGGAACTATTTTGCCGCATGTCAGGTAACTATTCTAATTGTTTGTTAACCCATTGAGTGATGAACATTCTCGACCCCTAAGCTGGGGTCTTCAGTTTTGAGTTGTTGGCAACCAAACTGGTTCCGTTACTGTGGCTATAAATTGTGTGTTCAAGCAAAGATATTCATACCCTGGATACTATTAATGTCGGGGTGTTAACTGAATAAGTATGCTATCAATTTTATGTGTATGGACTGAATTGTGTGACGCGACTCCGAGCCCTAATACATACAATCTCTATACCATATTCAGCCACTATGGAGGGAAAACTATAGTCAATCATTCCGACTGATTATTATTTAAATTGTTTAAAGACACCTTATTTACATACAAACAAGATCACTTTGTGGCATTAAGTTTAATATGATGTTCAGTGTTTGAATGTAAGTTAGATTTATGAGTATTCAACTGATTAAAGTTAGAATCATTTAATTGAAATAAGAAAGGGTGTTTTACACATGTTGTATTATAATGATAATAATAAATAGCAAATACCAATAGTATCATTAACCGCTACAAAGTCCCCTAATTTCCAAATCACTTGTCGCAAAAAATGGTAATTGATACGCCAAAAATAACTTAATGGATGGGCATTATTTCATCAGCAAATATAAAGCATCCCTAAATAATTTAAAAGTTGGTAAATTAAATCTGTGATCAATTCATAGGATATTTATTCAATTCTGTTTATCAAGAGTAAACAGACAACTGGCACTTTCTCAGGAGACGAATTAAACTTGGCTGGTAGTTTATTGTGCGGAATTAACGAAGCGGGTATCCGTCGGATAGATTCCACGGCGATTGAGGCGACCATAAAATCCCTTGACGGATGTACGACACTGGGTAAGACGGAACGTGACGCAGCACTTTCCGTCTATACATCACACAAGCAAATGTAAGTCAACTTCAAAAATGATAAACATTAAAAATTGGCTTTGCACTTGTCCTACGAAAATTAAAATGTTATATAGGTTCATATAGTACAGCCATTGAATATTGAGGTGTAATTTGTCGATTACTAGTACGATTTTAAATCTGTGACGAATCACTGGAAAAGGTTCTGTACGTGTCCGTCATTTAACACAGGGGACAATGAAACATACACGATTCATTAAAATAATGTTATGTTTTCTGTATAAACACGACTCTCATAACATAGTGCAGAAGGAGTCATTGTGAAATGCCTTTTGTTACGTTTATTGTATAAGCAATACCGTCATAACAATCTATAGTGTGAATCACGTGAATCATGGAGGCACGGTAGTCTAGTGGTAGGACGCTGGGTGACCGAAGGGGTGCGGGTTCGAGTCACGGCACGGCATTGTGTTATATCTTTGATCAAGATACTTTACTCTGCTTGTTCCCGTCTACTCGTAAATGAGTACGTGGTTAGGCAGTGCTATAATTTTAGAATGCTAGCTGTGAGCGCCGAAAAGGCTGTATGCTCCACATGGAGTTGAGAAATATATTGGCTGGTTGCAAAGGCCCTATTCCGTCATTGCGGATTGCAGAGTTATCTTCTCTTGGGAGCAGGTATTGATTGTTACGTCATTGGTTTGTTTGAGAAAATTACGTCGTTTTCTCAAAAATTGATGACGTTACTCTCACAAACAAGTGACTTAACAATCAATACCTGCTGCCAAGAGAAGATAACTCTGCAATACGCAAAGACGGAATAACAACGGATTATAATTTGTGAATCGCTTTGAGACGACCTACGAACTAGGTTGGAATAAAACGGTATATACAAACCTCGAGTTATTATCATTCATCACTAAGAGATTCATTTTATTATGTTTACTGCGTGAGCACTTCTGTCGTAACATAGTAAAGAATGAGTCACGATGAAATGATATTAACCATAGTTACAGTGTGATTTACTGGTGTCAAAACATAGTGTAGGACGAGCCGCTGTGAGATGTCTGTTGTTATGCTTACAGTACGAGTGGTGCGCAGGTTAAACCAACAACATTAAGAGATATAGGAACAATGGCGGCTGCTCTTTCAAAAACATCCTTGACACAATTCTAGATGTAAGTATACTGTTTTGCCCTTCATAATGTAGATGCGAATAGCTTGTCTGAAACAAAACATCTAGTTTGACAATAAAATTGGTTTACCGCTTGAAAAATAAAAGACATCAATTTCCATAATGTTCAGAATGTGTTTGTATCGGAATATTGATATTACACTGTACATGAAAAGTAACTATCTGAATGAAATTTATACTTGTAATAAAAATTGAAATGTACATTATGTGTCATAATTGCATACATCATTGATAGACACTGTTGTTTTTCGCGAATGTTGCCCAGTGGTTGGAAAAGGTGTACGCATTCTTGCATAGTTTTAATAGATATAAAAATAAAGCAACATTATGTCTCTTTGCTAAATATCAGCATGTCTGTCTGTAAATAATTCGGCCACTTGTTATCTTGGCATTTCAAGAGGGTTTGTTTCAGCACAGATTGGAAAACTCTCACACAACTATTTTTCATTTCTAAATATTAACACACATGTTTCTTTTTCTTTTAATAGCTTTATAAAATTTACTCAAATGAAAATATAAAAGAATCAAAATAAATTGAGACCAAGATATTTTTGCATCCCCTAATAAACCTATTTTCTAGGAAACTATGGCTGAAAGTGTTCCTTTTTCTATGGAAGCGATTAAGGAAAAGAGAACATCACAAGATATAAGAAAAAAAGCGGGATTCAAAAACGATATCAATGAGGATGAACAAAAAAAGTTCGATGAACAAGAAAAATATTTCAAGGAAAAAGGTGCGACTGCCTTAGAGAGAACCACTGTAGCCCCTAGCAGCAGAAAGAGGAGATCGACAGGTACATACATTTACTTCGACTGTGTAATATTAAATATGCTTAACATTGAAACGCAATACGAAAAAATAATTGAAAAATGAAAAAGAAAGTACAATATTGATTTCCTATTCAAGTACCAAAATTTGTTCTTATGTTTTGTGTATTATTGACAAACCTGACAAGTAATGTTTTGACTTATCAAATTGTACCTACAGCCTCCCTGACATGTACGGTTATGCACTTGCTTGGTACTACTGGACTTTCTGCACTGACCACTACCCAGATTTCCAACTTAGCTGACCATGAGTTTGTCGATTGTGCTGAGACCCTAGGGTCGGTCACTGACTACAGTACCGCCCAAAAGGACGCACTCTTGGTCGTAGCTACCCGAGCAACGGTAGTGTCAAAACACTTTTATGTGGATTTGTTACTATCATATATAACCTAAACTTGTGTGGCATCTCTTAATTTAAGCACTATGGTGTTTGCATGATGACAATACATATAATACAATGTTATAATAACATTACATGTAGTAAATATTCTCTGTCACAATGATTTGTCATAATGTGAGCTTTTAATCGTGACGTCAAAGAAGACACATGTTTCAAGATGGTATCATTGATCTTAATGCATCTCATTATATGATTACATGATGTTTCTTACACGTGGAACCTCCTGTTAATCTAGGTGTGGGGTGACCCGTCCTCCTGGCTCACTACTGACATATACAGCTCCGGTGTGATATGTCAGGCCATGACCGAGGTCCAGATCGCCACCCTCAACCTTGATCTGGATACTGTCAGTCGTCTCGGACAGTTTAATGGCTGGGACACGCTCAAGGTTGGTTACAACTTCTCTACTGGAAACATCAGTATTGATCAAAAGGACCAGACCTGAAGGCAACGTATAATAAATAAATAAGTATCAAACATACATAACCTTTAACAGAGTATATATCTTTATTTCGTTTATCATTTATTTTATATGGCTGTCCTTCCATATATTGATGAAAATCGGTACTTATTGTCCAAACATTTGCAGTCCATATTTTGTACTTTTTTGTTTATTTTTTCAAGTGAAAGTCTGTTTGTAGGTATCTACCTTCTGCTAACCCGTTAGCGTAGTAACATATTCTTCATTATGTTATGGAGAATATTTCTATACGTCTGTCCATTAATTCCTACATTGGACCCCACTATCTTTCATGCTGTTCTTTCAATCACTAAACACTAAACAGTGAGTTTAAGAACATACTATCTAGTACGTGAGATAATGCGCCTACCCTTTTACTAAATATTTTGACGTTTTTGAAATTATATTTGTTAAGAAAAAATCAGTATTTGACCGATGGTTGAATCTACACAAGTCCGGAGACAGTAGTACGATAACTGCCAGTGAGCTGCGGTCGCTTGGACACATCACGTGTGGAGCTGAGACCAGTCACATCAACAATATACCGATATCTGTCTACCAGTACGTACTATATAAAAAAACAACAACACCCACACACAATAATGTAAAACAACAAAATCTTTTGGAATAAATTACAAAATCTCAACTTCATGTGGATTTCTAATTTCCGCAAAAATATCAATATCCTGATCCGCTCCACATCGAGCACTGTGTATTCTATAACAATGTTTCTAGTATATGGTAGTGACCGTGACCTTTACACCTGATTTACATGTTAGTTATCATGGCCTCTAAATCTTACTTACTACTATCATCAACGTGCAGACTCCATGATGACACACACACAATAATGTTTGAGTGACTTATATCAGAATTGACACAATACCTAATCATAGTAGATGGACAGATTAGGAAGTTGAGACTCTAAAGATATTTGATAATTGATAACATAGTGAATTATACAGTCTTTTAAAAATTTAAAATATTATTAACGTATTAATATGATATTAATGGTAATTAATAAACAATGTGTTGCACTACTCTGTGGAAACTGCGTTATTGTTTGGCTATATATACAAAATGTAAGCAGGTGTTTCATGATAAACTAAGTGACTTCGCTTACATTTTATAAGACATTTTCAGGCAGGTTAAAATAAGAAGGTTTATGTTTATATCGACAGGGGCGCAGTGGATTCCATTGGAGAACTGACAAGTTGTGAGATCAGTCAACTCCAGGCGTTTGCAAGCCTTGCTAAAACTGCTTATGGGAGTGCCATCTCGACATGGGATTCGACAGTGATTACCAACGTCGGAACAAGCATAGGTTATTAATCAAGTCAAAATGTCTTACAACTGTTATGTATATAATCGTTTGAGAACGATAGATTGTTAATTTTGTAATGCTTTATTCTCCTCGGTTTTTTCAATTTTAATCGAACTACCGTTTTTTTACAAAATGAAATCGCCCTCTTTCTGTTTATAATAAGCATAGCATTCATTAGTAAAGGTTACGAACAAATCTGTTAAATAAATGCATAGCAGTACACTGTATATAATGACTGATATTGTACCACATTTCTTCAATGACAGGTGGACTGAGTGCAAGTGAGATCAGCAGCTTGACAGCGTCCCAGATTGATGCTGTGGATCCCAACCACATTTCGTACATTCCCAACGCTATTTTTTCGGTAATTTATCTCTGTTATCATTATAGTCAATAAGCTTGCCAACCTTATTAAAATAGGTTCGCGACAGGCAGGGCAACCAGGCTGGTAGTTGGCAATAAAAGCAACTTGCTCGACTCGGTATTATGGCAAATATAACTTGATTCAAATAGACACGATTCTGGATGAATACGCAAAGGAGTTAATTATGAAAACTTACCCCAACGATCAAAATAACTTCCTATCCAATTTTTTTCAAGACATTATATAATGATGTGTATTTTCGTTTTTACTATATAAATTAAACGTCCAAATATATTCATGTTTTAAATGACATGTTCATAACAACTACGTAGGGCATCCGTAAGCTGTTCTGCTTCTTAATAATGAATCTTTAACATTTATAGGTTGAGAATATGCTCTTCTGAGGTTAGAATCACGTTCAAACCATATTTTGATCTTGTGTCACATGATTTTATTAAATATGACAAATTATGATCAATTTTAAAAGGAAACATGCATTTGAAAATTTGTCAAAAAACTAGATACCTATTGTTTGCAGAATTGCTTGCTAGTTTTTTTTTCAAGAAGACAAATTAAACGGCCATGCGTCAACATTTCATCTTTTTGGGCATTTTCTGAATCGCTAAAAGTGTCAAGTTGGTTTTTGCTGTATAATTTTATGAACAAAGTGGGGAATTATACAATATTGGCAGTTCATTATTTATTTCTATCAGCTGAAGCCATTTTGATGTTTTTTCTATCAAAGTTGAAAAATAACACACAAAAAAAGGAATACGGAAAAGAAAGAAGTACAGTGACACCCCATGTTTAGCCAGATTAACACATTGTAATATTACAGGGTTTCATGGTTAGCAAGATCAACTTTTGTAATATTACATGGTTTCACGGTAAGCCAAATCAACACATTATAATATTACATGGTTTCACGGTTAGCCAGATCAACACATTGAAATATTATAGGGTTTCACGGTTAGCCAGATCAACACATTGTAATATTACAGGGTTTCACGGTTAGCCAGATCAACACATTGTGATATTACAGGGTTTCATGGTTAGCCAACTCAACACATTGCAATATTACAGGGTTTCACGGTTAGCCAGATCAACACATTGTAATATTACAGGGTTTCACGGTTAGCCAGATCAACACATTGTGATATTACAGGGTTTCACGGTTAGCCAAATCAACACATTGTAATATTAAAGGGTTTCACGGTTAGCCAGATCAACACATTGTAATATTACAGGGTTTCACGGTTAGCCAGATCAACACATTGTAATATTACAGGGTTTAACGGTTAGCCAGATCAACACATTGTAATAATACAGGGTTTCAAGGTTAGCTAGATCAACACATTGCAAGATTACAGGGTTTCACGGCTAGCCAGATCAACACATTCAGTCCGTCGCAGGCTCAGTCCACCACCACGAGCCAGAGGGCAGCACTGACGTCATCCCAACTCAACGCTTTATCTACAGTAGCATCCATTACATGGGTCAGCGCAGGTATGTAGCTCGATTTGACCAATTCAGTTGTTACGCATATAGAGTCAGAAATGCCCGGGACACCATATAACTGGTATTATCTAGTCTTTGTAGTTTTTTTTCTATCATGATGGTGTTTACATTCGAAGGTAAACCATTTTGTTTATCGCTTTTAGTTCATATATGTATTTATGAACAATTAGTACAGTTGGATTATATGTTTACGCTTTGCAAAAAAAGTATTTTCGTGACAAATTATAATATCTGTTAGGTCTCGATGAATACCAGACGTATTTCATCGCATGGAGAAAATGTGTTAAAATGTTACTAAGTGTTGGCTAAAGTAGAAAACATATCCATCCCACGCGTCGACAACTAGTTCCCCGCTTTTCGTCCGATTCGCCGTGATAAGTATGACTTTTAAGTGAAGCCATCATCATATACATTTGCGCCAGTGAAACAATCCATCCTACATTTTATTTGTATCCATCCCTTCTATGTGAAGTTAATGCCAATTATCACTTTGATTATTAGCTTCTTGATCGAAAAACAAGGTTTTCTTAAGGTTCACAAGAATTCTATTTGAGTTAAAGAGGTACATTTTAATGAAAAATATTGAGGAAGTATTGATAAATGTATCGGGGAGATTTTAAAAAACCAAATGGGAAAATTTTCAAAACACACCAGGGAGTGTTTCTAAAACTATCTAGAGGAAGGTTTATCTAAATGTTCGAAAAAGATATGTAAACGTATAAGGCAAAGTTAGGCTTTATAAAAGTATCCATGGGAGGATAAATAAATGTATCGGAGAAGGATTCAGAGAAGTACATTGAGGAAGGATTGATAAAAACCTCTAAAAAAAGATTTATAAAA